TAATGTCTTGCTTGACCCTTGATTGGTGTTTCTCAGACCTTGGGTTCCCATATGTTCTTGGACTACAACTCCCAGAAATCCAGGCCAGCACAGCTAGTGGTGAAGGCTTCTGGGAATTGCAGTCCAAGAACGCCTGAGGGACCCAAGATTGGGAACCACTGCCCTAAACTTTAAGAGGCATCCTATCTTAGAAAGTCTTTCATTTTTACAGATCCACCTTATATCCATCATTGTCTATTTCCAGCCCACTCTCCCACAGCCAATTTTTCACCATTATTTTCTTTTAGGTCAATTTTGTGGTCCTGCTAGCCCAATACAGCCAACTCTTGACTAGCAGAAATGAACCTGTAGGATTTCAGCTGGGATCCATTCCCTAATCCAATCTAGAGATGTTGGGATTAAATCCAGGGCTTTCTATAGGCAAATCACATGCTTCCCTGTTGAGCTGTGGCCCATTGCCAACAGAGTGCCTCAAATCCCCCAATGGTCACCCATACAACCAGTAACCAGGCCTGACCCTGCTTAGCTTCTGAATTCAAACCAGGTCAGCGTGTGCCGATTTCTGGACACAGTCCGAATACAGCATGGTCTCCTGCCTACCCCCAAGGAAAGAGAATTCCAAGATTGTGGGGCATTCGGTAAGAAGGCTTCTCTGGAAGCCCTTGAGAAATAGGTTTCCTGTAATATTGCACGCATTGCGGTCAAAGACGCATACTTGGAGGATGTCACTCACCCAAAAGCCTTCTGGCGCAAGGCACTGCCAGGAATTGCTAAGCCCCAAAAGGATGAAGCGAAGGTTAGAGGATGACTCTGCTGTTTTGAAAAGTGGTTTTGGTAGCCAAGAGGAAGCAGAGAGAGTTTAATGAAAAAAAGCGAGAGAGAGAGAACTAACAAACGAACTTGCTACAGGGCAAGGAGATTCTCAAATCATGTGAAGCCTTCAGACGAACAGGTTGAGGTCAGTCAAAAACAGCTGCGATACCTGTCATTATCTAAACCTTGGACCAAGTTTCTCTAAACAACATCCATCCTTTCTGTGCTTATGTGTTCTCCCTTCCGGCTGACACACACATCCCTTGGGTGTTAGAAAGTGTGTATCCATCATATCTTAAGACCAAGATAAATAATCTGAGCAGTCCAGAAACCATTATCCAAACAGCTCTGTTCCCCAAAGTGTGGAAACCACGCTGGAGGTAAGGTCGTTGTTGGAGGCCATGTCAGTCAGACCCAGTTCTGTCAAATCGGGAGGGCAATAAGGATGAGGTTGGGGTGAGGGAGGGCAGGCGGTGGGTGTGAAGGGGATATTGCGTCTCTTCCCCGCATGCCTGTGGCGAAGTTGGCTGGGATTTTTTGTGAGTCCAACTATTCCAAGCTAAAAAAATTAGATGAAACTGGACAGCTGCTCTCTCTTGCCCTGGTGTACAAACAAAGCAGCCATCGTGATCAAAGGGCGGCCGGAGGGATTGTGAAAAAGATGAGGACATTTGGCGGGATGGGAGAGGGTTCGCGGTAGACAATGGCGAAGAAGCTGGGAGGAGTTGATATGGTCGAGGATACATGGTCTGGAGCAGTTGAGGAAAGAGAGATTTTCCCCTCCCTTTGCTTCCAACTGCCAAAATCCTATTGTAAAATCCACGTGAATAAAGGAAATGGTGCAAGCTGCTTTGGGGATTTTTTTCCCTGGCCATCTGTCTTGTGCCTGGAAGCATGAGGAAGAGCACAAGGAACTGCATGGCCAGGGTATGTCCACGCGCATAGCTGGCAGCCGGAATTATTAAGCACACCGGTGAACATCATTTCTGGTTTACCCAATGGAATTGTAATAGGGTCCTGCCCAAGGTCTGAGATCTTTCTTTGACTCTGGGTGGTGGGGCATGTGCAGTACATTGAGGCACATCCTTCTTCACATAGCTCGTTGTCCATGCATGGCACCTTGTACGACAGCCACAGAGAGGGATTTGGGCAATTCACAGGGAGTACATATCCACTGACCATGCCGGCTAAAGGAGTCGCAGAAAGTAAACCTTTTTAGTCCCCAAATATAACATTCCCAGCCTCTGATCTACAGCTGGAACATATACTCAGGTCTCTTCCAGATGGGGGTTTGCGTACCTCCAGTTTTTGTTTCAAAAAGAAAGCTGGGTTCTCTGTTTGTTGGCTGTGTTTTCTAAAAGTGAAGTTAAATCCAGCACAAAACACACTAAGTAGGATGTTTTACTGATGTTAGAATAAGATGGGGCTGTTTGGTGATATTTGGATAAGGGGCTCTGTTAAACTTAACATGGGTAAGGTCTTCAGGACGCCTTAATTCATTCGTCATGACGGGGAGACCCTGATGGACCTTCCTTTTGCTACTCTGTCTAAACTTCTCAAAAACTCCTTCCGTCCTTCCTTCCTTCCTTCCATCTTAAGCAGCAACACAGACCCATCCACGGCCCTGGCCATTTATTATTTCAGATGATAGAAAGTTCATAATCTTGCAAAATTCCATGGACGTAATACATAAAATAATATTCCTACCAGGAGGTTGTACAGCGTTAAATACAGGATGTGGCTGCAATGAGTGGATTATTCATGCATTCTTGGCCAAGCCTCTGAGCAAACCCTTTGGCTAAATGTTAAAAGAGATAATAACAATCTGGTGTTTGTCTTTTACCCAATAAAGTGGCCTTTTCCAATTTTTATCCAGATCCCACATATTTCTCCTTTAAAAACAAACAAATGGTGTAAATAAGTGTTCATTAGTTGTCAAAAATGATCAAGAGTTTTGTGAGATGGTGTTTCAGTTACATCCAGTATATGGAAAAAAACTGGTTTCCCATGATCAGTTCTTCTGTGATTTCTTCAGTACAAATTTATGGTTTTCTCCTGCATGAATTTGCGGGCTGCTCATTGCGAAGATTAAGTCATCACAGTACGTCTTGGAATTTGGTACCACAACGGTCAATGATGACCACTAGCAAAGTGTCTCATGATGATGAAATATTGCTTCCAGTATTGGGGCAGTCAGCTTCTTAAAACCAGAAGCTGGAAATAACAAGTTACAACTACAGTAATTACATTTAACTTTTTATTTTAAAGGCAAAGAAGATTTAAGTAGGTTATATTTAAAAAGTAATGTGAAGAGTAGTTACAAAGTTGGTGTAAAGATCAGCGTTTTCTAGTTGTTTACAGAAATGACTTTTACAGACATTTAAGGTTTTGTAAGAGACAGGTAGCAGTTTTTAAAGGTTCATGCTATTTTTCAAATTCCGTGCAATTTTCCAAATTTTGTGTCAATTGTGAAGTAGTGAAGTGTGTTATCATTCATGCCTTTTAAGGATTTTCAAGGTGTAGTATCAGAATTAATCACTAGGGGGAACTGAGGAGCATTTTTTTCTGGCAGACTAGTGATAGCAATGCAACCTGCTAATAATACACAAAGTGTATGGACTATGCTAGCGAACTAAGCAATGACTACAATAACAATAACCTGGTAATGTGAAGTAATGAGAAATGCAATCACTTCTTTTTCAAAAGAACATTCCAGGATCTGCTCAAAATCCCAGTTACTGGGGAATAAGGGCAGGAAAGTGCTTTAGTTCTCATGCGTTATTCGTACAACACACACTGGCAGCCGGTTGGCCACAGAATATTAGATATCCGATCTTATCCAGCACAGCCCTTAAAATAACCGTATATCATACAGTGTAAAGAACATTCAAAGAGAAAGGGAAATTGGAGCATTATGTGAGGAGGTGCGAATAAAATATACAGCTAGAATTAGGAGTGTTCTAGATGGAAACAGCAAGCCGCCTACCAGTGAGAGCAAAAGAGTTATATGAAATAGCAAGTGATGTGGACAAATTTGTGTCATGTTTTATGAGCTCAACCAGGAAGTCTTGGATGTGCAAGGAGCGACATGGGGCCACCCAGATGTTCTCTGACAGCCGTGGCCATCCACCCTTCTCCATTGCAGGCAATGGTGAGGAACGTAGACCATCCTGCTTGCTGAGCCTTTACAGACGAATAATGGTACGTACTGTATATAACTGTTTAGGTCCCTCGATGAAAAAAACTTGTTATGATTTTTCGGAAGGCAGCAATCAAAGGCCCAGGCTTAGACCTTCAAAGTAATATGTGAGAAATTGTTACGTGACATTCACTATTTGGGTGCACAGAAATAACGGTGTAATCATAGAATCATAGAAAAGGGAAGTTGGAAGAGACCTACGAGGCCATCAAGTCCAACCCGCTGCTCAATGTAGGAATGTTCGTTTTCCGCATTATGTAATAATCACTCAAATGATGGCTGACATCCTGTTACTTAATGTAGCAAATTTCAATTAGAGTAGACCTGCTTGGGTCAATGGAACTTATGGAGGAGTTGACCCACCAAATCAGCGCTTATTCAATAGGCCTACTCTAGTGTGACTTACTAGGGTTGGCAATAGGTTTTCATCCATTGACTACCATTTACTAATTTCTTTGTCTTGTTATTTTTTTCCTGGGGGGGCTTAATGCATTTCGAGAGTTCTGGGTTAAAAAAGAAATAGGACTTTACTTCATCTTAGACTGGGGGGGGCGGGCTGAATGCATTTCAAGAGTTCTGGGTTTAAAAAGAAATAGGACTTTACTTCATCTTAGGTCTTCTTTGTTCCCTCTCTCTTTCTTTCTGGACAGATTTAATGTTTAATCTGAAAAAGAGCTAAATACTCTTGTGTAACACCATGAGTATCAGTGATGAGCTAGGGTGCCAACTCAGGTCTCTTGGATTTGCTATGCTTCCCCAGGTCTCCAGAATATTTGATTTGCTGTCTTTAAAGCCTGTGCCCCCATCTCCATCCAAGTGGTAGCTGGTGCCAAGGCTCCCCCTCCACTCTTGCCTGCCTTGCCTCTATGACATCACAAAGGCTCACTCTATGACATCACATACTGTAGACTCAACTTTGTGACATCACAAGGGCCTGCCCCAACAGGACTATTTTTTTTCTTGACTACTAAGCTGTTATTTTTTTCTAAAAGGCATGTACCTGTTCTTGAGCCATACAATGAATTACTTTACAAAGTAATTTCCCAAGTTTTCTCTAGAGCACTTGTTCTTGAGACCCTCCCTGAACATGGCAAGGAAACTTGGAAATGTAATGCCTTCAGGCAACCGTCCAGCAGCTCCTGGGGTGTGCTGTTGTTCACATCTCCATGCCGTCAAAGCCCAAAAGGAATGTCTCTTTCGGATCACATGGTGCCTATTTATAGATGGCACCGACTGCTCTCTTCCCCTCTGCCAGCAAGCTTGCAAACGTGAAGGTCACGAAAGAGGCAGTCCTTCCGGACTGCCTTTTTGTGCCTCATGGGGGACAGAGCGAGATCCTAAGGACACCAGCCTCAGGTTAGTTTCCCCCCTGGTTTTAACTCACCGTGTGTGTTTGCCCCAGATTCCAGCTCTTCCCCTAACCCTGCTGCCTCCTTGACTAAAGTGTGTGTTCTTGTGTCAGGTGGGTTGACCGGCCGGCCTGTTGGCCAGCCAGCCACTTTGGAGGGTGAAGGCCCAAATGACATCTCATTCAAAGTCTCCAGAAGGACAAATCTTCCCCATTGCAGAGAAAACCAAGGGGCTTCTCAAACAGGGGAAATAGAAACAGGCAAAAGCTTCCATCTGGGTCTCAGCGGAATCAGGACTCGGGTTGAGGTGGATTTAAAGATCTCCAGAGGGTTCACCCCAGCAGAAGAGGGTTTATACAATGGCATTTTCAGCCTCCCAAGCTTTATTGCACATTCTTCGTTATTGCTCTGTACAAGCTTGGCACGGGAGGAGAGAGAAATTTATTCAGCATCTTGAAAACCTCAGCTTTAATTGTTAGAAAGCAAGTTTCCTGCTCTTATTGCTGAAAGACGTGGCCTTTGCTGGCTCAAGTTTCCAAAGTCAGAAGGGGGACGAAGTAGTGTGGGTGTGTGAAAATCAGCAAGAGAGAAGGTTTTTTTTTCCTGCCTTCTTTTCCGTACCCCATACTTAGCAGAAGAAGCTCAAGGAACGAACTTGCTTTGCAGTTACAGAAGTTGGAATAGAGGATCAAGGCACGTTGGCGATCCAGAGGTGTGGTCCTAGCAGATCTTGTGTGTGTTTGTGTGTGTGTGTGTTTGTGTGTGAAACAAAGCCTGTGTTTATGACCCAAAGACCGATCACAAAACAAAGTGGGGACAATGGGAGGCAAGAAACAGAAGTCCACCTCAACCTCTCCCCTTTGCAGGTGGCCCTTCTCAGCCGGCTCCCTCGTTGGCCCTTGTCCTCCCTCCCTCTTGCCTCCTAGCGGCCCCAGAACGATGGCCTCAGATGGTCCACCCAGAGGGCTAGAAGTGACCCCTTCAGAACCTCCACTCTCCTGCATGTCTTTAAGGTCCACGCATTGTCTGATGCTTGCATCTAAGTTGTTGCGAGGCCAACTCCCATGCTGCATACTCGTTGTGGTGCATGCTCCCTCACAGCTATTGTCCACACCGGCTGGAGGTAGTCCAAAACAAGAGTCACTCTCTCCATCTCCGATCCCACTATATCTAAATTATTTTGGGTCTAAGATGAGGGACAGGAGGCAGGGAGGAACAATTTAGTTCCATTTTGACCTGACATTAAACTTACTCCTTTCAGATTTATGGGGGCGAGCATTGTCAGGCATGGCTTCCTGCCCAGCTCAACCTCTCTTTCAGCACTGTCTGATGGCATCTACAAATCACACTTGCCTGTTACAACACCAGACACAGGGCATTTGTTTTCCTCCTTGACAGCTCTTAGGCTCAATGAGAAACACAAGGAAGAGGCTTCCTTAGCAGCCAGTACAAAATGGCCTCCACGGAGACGTCCATCCACACGACGTGTCGCCACACTCTGTGACTTCAGTACACCGCCCTGTGGACCCTTTTCAAAACCGGGATTTTTAACCAGCTGTGCCCCGGTCTTAAATTATCTCTCCTTATGGAGGCTCAGAAGTTCATGACTTTGTTTCACTTGAAAATTGAGACGTGTGTCCAAAGAAGACGTTGAGTGTGGGGAAACCACAACACTCTTGTTTGGGGTGAATAAATAATTCCTTATGCATACGATGGTTTTGTTTTGCAAAAGTTTCCACATTTCGATAGTCTGAGGCAAATTGAATAACAAGGCTGACCTTTAAAATTAAAATCCAGGGATACTTAACTCCAAGCTGTGTGCTCAGATTTGTTTGTCCCTCAGAAATATAGCTCAATCTGGACTGCCTCGGTGGCGGGCCAGATTGATGAAACCTGCCAGCGTCCACTTCCACATGAATCAGTCTTTCAGGAACGTCGCTGTAGGAAAGGCCTGGACATCTTTTGGAATATGGCTCTGAGCTACCTTGCCAGACTGCACAGATCTTGTATTAATTTGTTTATTAACAGATGTATCCACACGGGTCTTTTCTTTGGCACTTTATTTCACAACGACCGTGTGGGGTAGATCAATGTGAAACAAAACGACTACTCCCGGGGGGCATCCTGTGAGTCTTGTGGCTTAGCTGGTGGCTCAAATTTGTGTTTCACAAACTCTCACCCAACAGCCTAAGCACCACACCACAACATTTTAACCCAGGGGGTAAAATGAAAGAGGCAATTTGGGGGTTCCATGTGATTCGTACACAATACAACGAAGCCACATGCACCTTTAAATCCTCAAAGGAAGACTTTAATCAGTGGCAATTTGTGGCTGCTAATGGCAACATCTCTACCTTTAATTAGGAAAATTACACTGCTGGGTGATTTACGCTCTAGAGATTAACACAAAGATGGTTTCACGCAGCACCTCCCTGAAAATTTTGGTTTACTGAAAGACACAATATGAGTTCAAATCCTGATACCAGCAACATGCTAAGACAACCTCTACCCATTGAATTTATTCCCTCAAACTATGGTTGAGCCCTGGGTCTACCTTTGATAATGTCACATTATTTGCAAAGCGATTGCCAAGGATTTGTGACTTCTGCTGGCTTTACAGGGTAGAGTGGCCTTCTATTTCTTTCTTTCTTTTAGGGACAGAGTCCTCTTCCTTGAAGGATAGCCGAGTCCTACTTTGATTCAAAGATCAAGAATTATAAAATGGGGTGGGGGGGGGGAGATCAGAGCCTCCAAAGATGCTCATCATCATGCATGGTGAGCATCATCTCTAGAGCAAACACGGCCGCTAACGCATGATGTGTCAGATCATAGCCTTCTTTGTTCCGGTGAAATGCACTGTCATTCAATTCAAGTTCCAAACAAGAGTTTAAATGATGAGAAACATTTCTAATTCGGCATCCCCACATGTAAATTAGCATCCTTGTTCCCCTGACACCAGTGTGAATTGAATAAAGCAGCTGATTCTAATTTTAATGAAGCCTCTGTACCAACAGGACCACCGAACCAACGTCAGAGGTAGCCCACTCTGTTTCTGGAACCGCAGGCATGGCAGGCTTGGTGGGGTATGTTAGCAACTGCTCATTGCCATCCCTTCTCACCGTACATATTCGGATGTTACGGCCACCGGTGGGACGACGTACGTTTCGAGCTTTCCCGACTTTATGGAGAGAAGAGACGGCAAAAGGTACAGGCTGTGTTTCTCATCTTCCCCCCACTCCACTTCCTATTCATATAAAAAAGGATGGGATGGTTTCTTGCCACACTATCTTCCGTCAGTAGCACCATTTATGAAAAATATTGTGTGGAGGCTTTAAACGCCAAAGTATCGCACAAGTCACCAAGGCATGCCAAGAAGGAGTGTTTAACTAGCTGTCTTTTTAGGGCCCTATGAAATGTTTGAAATTATGTTAATTGTATGAATGTTGAGCTTAATAAACTGCTACCGTTACTTCTACCTCTTCTTGCATAAAGAGAAATCTAAGGAATCTAATTCTGCACCTGCGCGTATAAATTAGCATGCACAATTTTAAGCAGATTCTTAAATGGATGGAAGGGAAGTCGTTTATTATTTATTTAAAACATTTTTACCCCGCCTTTCTCGTTAAAAGGACCCCCAGGCAACTCTGCAATCGTCAAGGTAATTTCCTCTGAGATGCAGAAATAGGTGAAAGAGTTTCCTCTTTTGCAAGCCTAGAATCTGCTCGGGTTGTCAATTTCTGTAAGGGAACATGTTACAGAGGAAATGCTCCCGGAAATCAATGATCTGTTAAAGGCGGCATTGTAATTAAGGGCCAGTACCTTACTGAGGTTTTCGTGCACATGTGGGTATTTGTGGACATGGCTTGCCTGTTTTACGGATGGCATGTCACACAGCCGGTGACGTGATCAGCAACGCGGTGAACTGCACACCTAGGAGGCATGAATCGAACAGGCCGGAAATCACTGCTGGCACCATTTCCTTTGCAAAGGCATGTAAGCCAAATGGAGTTCTGCTGTAAAATTTCTAACTGATGGGGTGTTTCCCGTAGACACAGAATATGTAACAGTGTATGTTGCATAAGGCTGATGTGTTTTGAGAGATTCACTGTCACCTCTTTTGCATGAAGCTGAAGAACAGAGAGGTTGACTTTGAAAACATGTGTAGGGCAGGTGTGGGGCTCACCCTTCCAATGAAAAGAGGGATCACTACCATAGCAGGTTTTATATATATATAAAAAGCCTGCTATGGTAATGATCTTTCTTTTCCTTGGAAGGATGAGCCCTACATCTGTCCTACACATGTTTTCAAAGTATATAGTATATATACTGCTGATTCTCCTATATTTATATAGATTCTCCAATATATATACGGTTGTAATGGAGAATCTATCTATCTATCTCTCTCTCTATATATATAGGAGAATCAGCAGCTGCTGCTGCAGCAACAGTTAAAATCTTTGTTGTATTCTGGCTCCCTTGCTCAATAAAAAAAAATGGTCTCGCTGATAGGTTGAGGCTGATCGGTTCCTTTAAAATTCTGAATGGGAAAAATGCTTCGCAGTGGCCAATGGTTTCAATCCAGCCTGCCCCCCCCAAACCTGAAAAAGTTGCCCTTAAGTTAACGTCTTGTGGAATTTTGTACGTATATCGTCCTGGGAGGTCCAGAGAGCTGGCCAGAGTCTCCCAGTTCAACCCAACCACACCCATCCCCGCCTTGGCTTTATTATTTATTGATTTATTTGATTATTGTGTTTAGGGTTGTTTCTTTTTATTGCTGAGCCAGAAGAACCCTGTCAGGGCCCACTTGCCAAGTCCAGGTAGCCTCTCCAAGGTTTGCCGAGAGCTTCTTGGAGGTCTGTTCATCTTTTCCCTACCTGTAAGGGGAGAGCCGCCCTCGCCCCCCCCCGCGCGCTCCCGCTTTTGAGACGTCACCCTTTTCTGGTTCTTATTAACTGCCCATTTGCATCTCTTCCATCGAAGGAAGGCCGGGCAGAATCCTTTCACGGTCAGACCCAAGGGTGGGCCGACAGATTTTTCAAATTATATTTGCAGCGCAAAAGAAATTCGTTTGCTTTTTGGGAAAGCAAAACAAAAGAATGCGATCAGCGGACGTTTTCAGCGCTTTCTTCGTTGTAGAGGGTCTCTCATGTTTAGCAAAAGCTTGCCTTAGTTTTTCATCGCTTTCACACTGGAGAGTGTCTGTGTGTATGGGAAGGGAAGGAGGTCGGACCTGGACTGGGAAGACTTGATCGCCAAGCCTTCTGCTTACCACCGAAGGCCGTTGAGAGACAACTTAGCCCACTGCACAGGGTTCTTGTGAATTTAAAATACTGTTTACCGTGTATCTCTCCCTCTAAGCTTCCTTAGTCATAGTGTTATAGTTAAGAGCAGAAATAGAAATTATGGTCATAATGACAAAACAATCGGAAATCTAATAATCTACTATGCATGGAGCAGCGATACAGGGAAATGTGGAATATGGCCATTCATGATAAACTATCCTGTGAAATTAAAATTAGAAGAGGAATGACAAAAATAATAATTATTTTAAATACATTTGGAATTTGTTCTCAGTACCTCTGGTGCAGAAAGGGAAAGTGTGTACACCAGGAGAAGAGTCAATGGAATACTGGAGAGAAGTGAGAATATTTGAAATATAAGAACGAAGAGCAAGGAACTAGCCCTGAGTGAGGGAAGGGTGAGTGGGTTGCACACTGTGATGAAGAGGAGTTGGTTAAGTCATAAGCGAATATGTGATAATGAGTTGTAAAAAGGTAGTTTTTGTATATGTTTTTCTTTTCTGTTTAATAAAATGCAGTTTTAAAAAATTACAAATTTAAAGTTAAAAAAACGAGAAAAACATGGTGACACCTTAAGGACTAACTTTAAAAAAATATGTGAGCTTTTGCGGACAAGTCCCCTTCACCAGACATAAAAGAAAGAGATGTGAAATTGGACTTGATGGCCTTATAGGCCTCTTCCAACTCTATTATTCTATGATTTTAAAAAAAAGGAAGGAGGGAGGGAGGGAGGGAGGGAAGGAGCAAGCCCCCCAACCTCCGACTGCTCTTTGCCCCTTTACATGGCTACCTCTGAGGCTGCTTTCATTCAAACAGCAATAACCAGCAAACCATATGGGAGCATTTTGAGAGCATTTGGAAAGCCAAGCCTCACTTTTTCCCTACTCTCTGGATTCCAGGCACTTTCTGCTTTCTCAACTGACCTGTCACAATTGTGTAAGAATAACCACAAAGAAAAAAAGAGAGAGAGGCTATATTAAATATTGTTTAGTTTGCTCTTACAAGAACAGTAGTTTAGATTTATTTTAGCCCTTTCCAGAAAATGATTGCCCAATGAGATAAAGTAAGCAATGCAAAAGTCAACTTGAAGCAGAGTTTAATGACTAAAAAGCACGGTTTGGAAAGATGCACGGATGGATTTGTGGTTGAGACATATTGGACAGCGGTATGTATACACTCCCTGATTTCAGACAGGCAACGCCGTTTGCTGCAAATGTCACACTGACATCTTAATTATCCGGATCTGGGGAGAAGGGCTGGACTGGGAGGGCTCCCCTGGATTTGGGGTCAAAAGTCTTGGTCGATTGCTAAAGGATGCAGAGGAGAAAAGGATACAGATGTCTTGAAGAGGTCTCGGACATCTGGAAGAGATGAAAGGAGGCGTTGAAATCACAAATGGGGTGAGCCTCTATGCCATCCCCGGTCTGAGTAGAGACATATAATAACCGTCATGGAACTTCAGAGCGTGAAGGGACCCCCTATGAATCATGAACTCAAGGAGGCCCAGCGGAGAATTGATATTATATTAAAACACGCACACGTAAGAGCAATGCTAAAAACACAAGTAACTCAACTGAATAAAATCATCCCTTTTAAACATCCTCTTGGGCCGATCAGTCAAGGAATCAAAGCAAATCAACAAGGAATTGATATTATATTAAAACACGCACATGTAAGAGCAATGGTAAAAACACAAGTCACTCAACTGAATAAAATCATCCCTTTTAGACATCCTCTTGGCCAATCAGTCAAGGAATCAAAGCAAATCAACAAATGTGTGGTTTCAACATTCATTCAATCTTTATTTATACAGCTATTATATCAACCCCATGTTCATGTCTCACTCCGCAGGGTTGTTGTGCTGACTTTTGAATTCTACGAAGTGCTTCAAGAGAACGACCAAATGACATACCTTGTTTTGTTTTGACTGTGTTTTTTTTGTTTGTTTGTTTTTGAAATCAGGAACTCGTTATCAAGATCTTGTGGTTGGCGTTCCCAAGGAAATCTATAAAAACGAAAAGAGAGTCGCTCTGTCCCCTGCTGGCGTACAAGCTTTGGTGAAACAAGGGTTTAATGTACAGGTGGAACAAGGAGCCGGGGAAGAAGCCAAGTTCTCCGATGACTGGTACAAAGAGGCTGGGGCAAAAATCGGAGACTCAAAAACTGTGTTTGGATCTGATCTCGTTTTAAAGGCAAGTAACATGGCAGGAAAACATACGTAGGCTTATCCTACCTCGTGGCCCCAGAGTTTGACCCTAACGTCTCAGGGAGGGGGGGGATGTCCATGGTGTAGAAATCCTAGGAGGATCAATCTAATCCTAGATCCAGAGAAGGGAAAGGAAACTCACGTTGGCTGTCCATCTACCTCGTTCCGCACATTGTCCAGCCGTGGCAGCTTTGAAGAAATGCATTTTTTGAGGGAAAACATTTTATCTCCTTCTAAATGCAAAGCTAATAATTCATTTAGTTTGGCCACTAGCTTTACGTAAAGAGCAGAAGGTGGGAGTTTGGGATTTTTTTTTTTCTAATTCTGTGGAAAGGTTTCAATTAAAGGACAATGCCATGTAGAGCTTAATTCAGGCAATGGGGAAGAGGTTTTGATTTAAGCAGAGCAGTAACACACGGATTTTACTTTCTCTAAGGTCAGGGCTCCAGTTTTTAGCGAAGCGTTGGGTGTCCACGAGGCCTCACTGCTCAAGGAGAAAGCAACGCTTGTGAGCTTCATCTATCCAGCCCAGAACCCAGATCTACTGGAGAAGCTCGCCCAACGGAAAGCGACAGTCTTGGCGATGGACCAAGTGCCCCGGGTCACCATTGCACAAGGATACGATGCCTTAAGTTCGATGGCCAACATTGCAGGGTTAGGAGACGTAGCATCCCTTCTATACGGTCATGATGGCTGCTACCAGGCTGGGGTTTTTGGCACGTGTTAATTCATGTGTGTCGGCGCTTGTTCCTCCTGCTTCCACATTTCCCTAATTTTATTCAGTGGTTTTGGAAGTGGAAAGCGTAAAACCATTAGTGGTGCTTATAAATCTCCTGAGATGGTTCATGGACCAGAACTGGGGCAGGGAGGGAGATCCCTCACCCTAAAATGTCAGCAGGGCATCTTACCTCTCATAGCCATCAGCTGTCACTCTCTCAGACCTGATGGCAGGTGTAGAGAAGGGTCAAGGTGGCTAAGAGGTAACATGTAAATTGGCTTGGTTACATTTCCAGAAACCATACTTGTATCCCTAATACCTTTCTGTCTAGTCCTGATATTCTTGTCTGCTGATGCTGGTCCGGCTGTACTCCTCCTTCCTTTTGCACATGTGCTTGGGCAACTCAAGAGGATTCTCCCTGGTTGCTAGAGATCAGGGGAGCAGAGCTGAATGGAGTAAATCTCTGACAGATCTCCAGAAAGATTAGAACGGGTCTCATAGAAATGATACCTAGAATCTCTCACTCTTCCTATGATTGTGATGGGCTGACTGTCAGGTTCTGGAAACCGTAGTCCAAAAGGAAGGGAATTTTGCAAGCTTTATTAAAAAAAAACTCACCTGGACTTCTAGTATCAAACTGAAAGATCATTTTACAAGCCTAAAGATTCTGTTCTGGAGCAACCGCACCCAAGACTGAGCAGCGCTCCTGTAAAAGCAGCTTGTTCTGTACTGCCTGTTTCCATATTCCCCCCCCTTTCCCCCGACCTCAAGAGGCAAGATCAATGCCCGTGCCTTTCTTTGCTTGCTTTCATCTTCTTGAGAGACCGAGTTTTGTTTCGTTGCATTCCCTGCTCTACAAGTTACTCCACTGTGACATTTACCTCTATAGGACTTCCTGTAGAGAGTTCGTTTCTGCATCAAGCCTTTACCTAGCCATTAAAATTAGGTTTAAA